CTTTTGCATATGGATTGGCTGTTGAAATTCTAATCTTATCTGTAGTGCTATTATAAGATGTAGAACATTTTGTGTTTTTCAGGACAGGAAATCATGCCCTATTTTTTAAAAAACTCTCTTCTTTCCTGTTGAAATTGTGTTTATGTTTATGAATTTCAATGGCTTCCCTGTGTAATCTGACATGGTAATTAGATGTGTTGTCTAGCCTTTCAGTTGTCTTGAAATAAGATACTGTGAGTTAGGCTATGTGCAGCCCTACCCCACATTTCTGAGTAGATATAAATTACCTGCCTACCATTTTTCTTCTCACCTTGACACAGAGAGTACTCCGTCGTTCTGTGTTATACTTCTGAGGATGCCAGTCACAGCTGCGAAACATCAGGTCCTACAAAGCCAAGACCATGGCCATACAGCCTGGAAAATCTACAACAACTAATGAACTCCAGCCATGAAAGCCTTCTACAACATAATAAAATCTGCCATTGCCTGTAATGTTCACATTAATTTTCACAACACAACACACCACATTGCAGTTTTTTAAACTTGAGGGAACTACAAAAAACAGTGCAGCAGATGGAAAGAGAGAGATGAATTCTCCCTGGCTGAGTGCAAGTCTTATTGTATATCTAAACTACCTTGGGAAATTATGGCCATTGAAACCCTTTTGATTTCTTTAAATTTATTCTTTTGGCTGCAATACAATAATCTATAGAATTTTTTGTCTTGAGTGAAAAATGGTAAATGCTAAGTATCTGAGTATTTAATTTTTGTTATTGACACTGGATTTTATAGTTTGGGTACTCACAAATGTTTATTGCAACTAATTTGATTTCTTATGATGTCTTGCTATGGTCATCTGACCAAAACATACTGCTCACAGATGCAGGTTTATCTTAAAATTTCTTTTTAAAAATTCTGGCATTGAAGTGGTGATCTCATCTGAAAAGTTCAAAACAGTCTTTAAAAACCTGCCTTGCTTCCTAATCTCTATTTTCTGTGACATTTATTTAGTTTTATTTATTGAGAAAAGTTATGACTTGCTTCTCAACAGGGTTTCTCAGGATGAGTTACAAATAAAAACAAGCCTATGACTACATTTTAAAATAACTATTCAGCAACATCATAACTGTAAATTAACACCAGCACCAAGTCAAAGTCATATCTCATTAGACTTGAAAGGTCTGAGTAATCAGAAAAGTCTTTGAAGCCTTTTTGAAAACTTTCAGATCCCAAGTTCTGTCATATCCTAGGTTCTGTGAAGTACATCAAGTCATGGCTGGTTCCATAGGCTGGGGCTATGATGGGGGAAAAACTCTCAAAAGCAGCTAATAGCCTGATGTTATGTGGAACCATCAACAAAATTGTCTCTGCTGGATCTTAGTGAGTGGGAAGGACACGTAAGCACACTCAAATAAACCCAAGTTAGGGGGGGAAAGCCTTCATAAATGGTTTTTGGTATTTCATTTTCTGATTACTCAAGCCTTTAAAGTCTAATGAGATATGACTTTGACTTGGTGCTGGTGTTTTCTGTTGGGTATCCATTAAAAGTGTGGTTGGCTCCCAAGAACATGTGTGAAAGGCGCTCATGACAGTGGATGTTTTCCCATCTCCTCTTTTCCCCCAACAATCCCCTAATACTTCTGAGGACTATGGGAGCCTTGTGGAGAAAATGCCAGGGCCACGAGGAGCTGCAGTAAGGAGACAGAATCAGGTAACCATTGGGGTAATAAAAACACCTCCAGCAGAATCACAGAGTTGGAAGGGACCTCCAGGATCATCTAGTCCAACCCCCTGTACAATGCAGGAAAGTCACAAATACCTCCCCCCATGCACCCCATGAATGCTGTTCCATGCCCAGAATATGAAAGAAAGAAAAAACCCTCCAGGATCTCCAGCTAAACTGGCCTGGAGAAAAATTGCTTCCTGACCCCAAAGTGGCGATCAGCATTTCCCTGGGCATGTAAGAAAGGGCCACAAGAACTAAGCATTGATGCAACCCTTCCTGATCTCCCTCTCATGATCTGCCTAAGTTCACAGAATCAGCATTGTTGTCAGATGGCCATCTAGCCTCTGTTTGAAAACCTCCAAAGAAGGAGAGCTCACCACCTCCCAAGGAAGTGTGTTCCATTGAGGGACCACTCTAACTGTCAGGAAGTTCTTCCTAATGTTTCGCCAAAAACTCTTCTAATTTAATTTCAACCCATTGGTTCTGGTCTGACCTTCTGGGCCAACAGAAGGCAACTCTGTACCATCTGCTATTTGACAGCCCTTCAAATACTTGATGTTTATTGCATCATCTCTCAGTCATCTCGTCTCCAAGCTAAACATACCCAGCCCTTCAATCTTTCCTCATAGGACTTGGTCTCCAGACCTACTCACCATCTTCGTTGCCCTCCTCTGGACACATTCCAGCTTGTCTATATTCTTCTTAAATTGTGGTGCCCAAAACTGAACACAATACTCTAGGTGAGGTCTAACCAGAGCAGAGTAAAGCGATTACATCACTTTCCATGATCTGGACACTATACTTCTGTTGATACAGCCCAAAATCGCATTTACCTTTTTAGCTACCACATCACACTGCTGACTCATGTTCAGTGTATGGTCTACTAAGACCCCTAGATACTTTTTGCACATACTACTGCCAAGACAAGTCTTCTTATGCATTTGGTTTTTCCTCCCTAAATACAGAACTTTACATTTATCCCCATTGAAATTCATGTTATTTGTTTTAGCCCAGTTTTCCAGTATCCTGACTCTGTCTTCTACCATATTTGCTACTCCTCCCAATTTAGTATCATCTGCAAATTTAATAATTTAGAAGAGTAAGGAGAACCAACTTTAGAAGAGTAAGGAGAACCAACTGTGCCTAGTTCCCTCATCCTCACTTCATCCTCTGATGCTTCGTGGCATTTTGTCCATGATGTTCCTCTGATCACAAACAACAACTTTTCCGTGGTTTTGTGGCTGTTGGGGGGAAGAGGAAAGTGATAGATATCTATCCAGTATTTTAAAAAATATTTTCTCATCCAAAGATGGTTTTTGATACAAAATTGTGATTTCACCTTTATTTAATCAGGACTTCCTCTCTCCAGAAGCAAAATCATTCTGGTTAGCGATGAAGACAAACTACCCTGCATGTGGCAAAATTTCTAGCAGCTATTGTCAAATTACATGACAACTTTTGCAATAGCAACCTTAAAGTTCTTCCATGTTTTCCTGTAGAACAAGGTTTATTGCGGGATGAGGGTTTGCGGCTTATGACTCTGGTTGTAAAAACAGTAAAGACAATAAATAAATAAATAAAATAAAAAGATACAAAACTGGTAAATAACGAACAAGATGATTAGCAGGCGGTGAGAAGGTGAAGTAGTCTGAGCTGCAATCTCAAAAAAAAAATCTAAAGTACTTCAGTTTAAGCATCCTTTTATTCTATTGAAGTAAATAGGATTAATCTAGCCAGGATTAAAAAACTTGGATTTAGATCAGGGCATATTTGCTGTTGACTGATGAATATTCATTTTTTGGAAAGTGTTTATTTGAAAATTGAAAAGCTACACATATATAGTGTTTACTTTAACAGCTGCACAATCTAGCATTAAACCATCAAGAAGGAATAATTTGTATTTACATTTTTACACTGCTATCCTAAGCAATCTTATATAGGGATGGGCATAAACTGGCTCATGAATGAAAGTTCGTCACAAATTTCAGCCAGTTTGTGGTTCGTGATGCAATATTTGTGAACTGAAGTGCTGCCACAAACTTCCATGAATTTTGATGCAGTTTGTGGTGGGTCATAAAGAGCAGAAAGCAGGGGTTTAAATGGCTCAGAACCATTTAAACCCCTGCTTTCTGCTCTTCATGAAAAACAGCTGAGAAGCAGGATCCCCACTGCTCAGTTGTTTGGTTTAAATGTCTCAGAGCCATTTAAACCACTACTTTCTGCTTCCCACCACTTTTCTCAGGGAGCAGAAGGCAGGGTTTTAAACTTTAAATGGCTCACAAACTCATACAAACTGGTTCAGTTTGTGAACCAACCTCTCATGAACCAAACCTCAAAAATGTAGTTTGTGCCCATCCCTAGTCTTACACTCTTCTAAGTTTAAGTCAATTGGCTTAGATGAGTGTCAATTCTGCTTAGGATGGCACTGTTAATTTTGCTTCTGTAATTCTGATCTAATGTGTCCCTATGTGAGGACACACATCTCACTTATGTTCAAGCAACATGAATTTGATACATCTGCAGCCCTTACTTCTTTGTACATCCCTCACTTAGTCAAGTTCCCACATTTAGTTATGTTCCCAACACTTGTTCAGCCATTATGGGAGTAGCATAGTGGATTGGATCCAGCCAGCTTTTTCACTCCATCTCACTCAGTATTACAGCCTCCACCCCATATGGCTTTTGTACATGCAGATCCCATGATCCCTATCACAACCTGTTCTTGTGGTCAAAGGGGATCTCTCAATTTTTTATTGAGAAAAAATGCCATCGTTTTTCAGTTGCTGAGAAAGCATGGCGTACTTATTCAGAGAATTCATTTTCTCAAAATGTTACAGTGTTGTTCAAGGATTCTAATTTCTTATTTTGAAACTATCATAATAGCATGCATAGCTTAACTATATTTCTAAATATTACAAAGAAAAATACTATCACAATCCTACAGTTATATTATCATTTTCCAACACTATAGCAAACAATCATGTTTATTTTCTATATACTGCATCATAGAAGACCAACTTTCTTATAAATTTTAGTCTCTGAAGAGCTGTAAATTTAGTCTTCCCAGATTCTATACCTTAATCAACCATTCACTGTGATGTCCACTGCCGTGCAAAGACCAACTGCACAGCTGCCAACAAATTTAATATGTCACGCAGGGAGTCTAAGCCCTATAATATGAATTACTCAGTGTAAAAATTGGGTATAAATTGAACAAAATACTATCTTTTTCAAATGTAAAAATCCTTAAGCCTTTTTTCTTGTTTTCTACCAGTGTCTTTCTTTCAATGCCATAATGGAGGAACTTGGAATTTCCCTCAAACACCAGAAGAAATTAAAGAAAAGGTCAAGAACTAAAGGGCGGTCATCATTCACAAGTATCCTTACCTGTCATCAGAGGCGGACACTGAGGAAAGAAACCATGGCTTGAATGAACACAGCTTTATACATGGGCAATATCTGGAGTAAAAGACAAAGCATATTTTTTTAAAAAAACTTTGAGGCCCACTTGTCCCTTGCTTGGAATACTTTCTGAAAGAAACATTAATGTTGTTCAGAAATTCACTGTGGTTTTCCCTTCTTTAATCTAGAGAAGGTACAGCTCATTCAACATCCTCATAAGACTGGTGTACTAATAATCACCTGGGAATTGTCTCACTTTTACTTTTAAGATGATTTGTATGCTCACCTCTTTTGCATCTCTCTTCTTGTCCCCCATTCATTGTTGTATCTGCTTTCTATATGAATAAAACCAGGGATTTTTCAATATCGAATGATTCTTTTATTTCCCCATTAGAAATATTGTGTGTGTGTGTGTGTGTTATCACCATGATCATTTTTAACCTGTAAATTAGACTATTATGCATCTAGCTTAGCATAGATTTTCTGACTATCAGGAGCTTGTCATAGACCTAGGAATAATCGCTGGTTTGGGGCTTCACAGCCTAAGAAGTAAAAATAAGCAAGTAGATAAGGTTTTGGCACTATGGTAGCACCAGCTTATTTGCACAGCATATCCCACCTTATCAACAGATTTGATTTGTTAGCTGTTGTAGATTTTCCAAGGTGTATGGCCATGGTCTTGGCATTGTAGAACCTGACATTTCGCTAGTAGCTGTGACTGGCATCCTCAGAGGTATAACACGGAAAGATGGAGTACTCTCTGTGTCAAGGTGAGAAGAAAAAAAATTAGTAGATATAAATTACGTGCCTACCATTTTTTACTTCTCACCTTGACACAGAGAATACTCCATCTTTCTGTGTTATACCTTTGAGGATGTCAAATGGGACTAATTCACTTAACTCCCATGTATTTAGGCTGAGGCTTTTTTTGTTGTGGTACAAAGTGCCTTTAGCTTGGAAGGAATTTGGTCTTATTCAGGCTGTTTCCCTATAATTCTACTTTGAAATGCTTTCAGGCTGATTGGAGTTTTGCTGGAATCCTTCTGGGAAATGCCTTCTGGCTAAATGAAGTTTTGCTGGAACCCTCATCTTAATTTTACTGAAATATGGGGGTTCCCATATGGATGTCTATATGATTTGGTATCAAGAGAGCCTCTCAGAGCTCTACACAATAGGTTTTGGTTGTTACCATCCTAAATAACTGGGTGTCATCTAGACTTGTCAACTCACTGCCTCTTCCGACTCCAGACCATCTCTCTTATAAATAAAAGCCGAATGGTGGTGGCACTTCTCTAGAACATTCCACATGTTCCGGAATTGGTTGGCGCGCTGGTGTGTCACTCAGAATCTGTCCCTATCCACTGGCTGCATTGCTTGAGTCTCGCCTCCAACAGTCTAAACTTTTTGCTGTTCCTCCCCCCCCCCTAGCCAGTCAGAACACAGAGGTTATTTGCATATGCAGCCTCATTGGCCTTTGCCTCGGAACACAGAGGTCATTTGCATATGCGACTTGATTGGCTTTTGCCTCTAACATTCTAAACAGTTTGCTGTGCTGAGGTAAAATGTGTCCAATCTCCAGGTGAGGGCTGGAGATCACTCAGAATTACAACTGCTTTCCAGACGTCAGAGATCAGTTCCCCTGGAGAAAATGGTGGGCTCTGTATCCTTATATGCTGCTGAGGTGGCCCCCGTATGACAGCCAATGTGACGTAGCAGTCGGCTTCAGAGCACGGGAGAGGCTGCAGGTGTGTGGGAGGTGGAAAGCTGAAGAGTGAGGGGGAAATAAAGGTAGGTTGATGATTGGCTGGGAAGGCGATAGGATTCCCAACTCCAGGTGGGAAATTCCTGGAGATGTGAGGGATGGAGCCTGGAGAGGGTGAGGTTTCAGGAGGCATGGGACCTCGGACAGGTACAAAGCCCTCCAATCCAACTAGTCCCTTCTGAGGAACCATCATTGCCAATCTCCAGGTGAGGGCTGGAGATCACTCAAAATTACAACTGTTCTTTAGGTAGCAGACATCAGTTCCTCTGGAGAAAATGGTGGACTCAGTGTCATTATACCCTGCTGAGGTCGCCACAGCAAATTGACACTGAGTGTCCAAGGCCGGGGCACCCGCCCAGAGCCTCTTTCTAGAGGCCATTGTATTTATTTCCACAATGGGCCTTTTTCCTAGTTTATAAATAAATTAAATAGCCCTGGTACAGACCTCAGAGGGACCCCACTTCTTGTCCTTTAACCAGGTACCAGAGGAAAAGGCAACCAGCTGCTCAGTTTGGCACAGTTCTGCTCTCAGCTCTCCTGGGAACAGGCACAACGTCATTGCTATTCTTTCACATTTCTTGTATTTTAATAGTGAACCAGTAAATGTGGGTGCACTGAAAGCAGCACAAGCCTTGAGCAGCGGGTGTCTAATTTCAGGATATCAAATCTAAGAGGAAGAAAGTGCCTAATAAAGAAGGCATGATCCTGCATAGTCGCTATTTTGCTAGGCATCTCTCTAGTGCATTTTTAATCTCACTCTTCCTCCAAGAAGCTTGGGGTGGTTTACATGGCTCTCTATTTCTCATTTTCTCCTCACAACTGTGTGTGGCACATTAGGCTAAGAGAATGTGACACCCAAAGTCACCCAGCAATCTTCATAGAGCTGGGGGGATATGAAGTGAGCCCCTGTCTCTCAGATCTTAGTGTACCACTACCCCACAGTAGCTATTTATGGAGCACATGTCTCCACATAAGTAGACCAGAGCCAAGTATTCCTGAAGAACCATCACATGATGTCTGAAATATCCACTTATTCTAAATGGGAATCTTAGTTTCCTGCTGTGCAGCCCATGTCTCTTCATACTAGAATTTCCCTTTTCTTTTTACTACTCACTGAACTCCCTTTCTCCCAGAGCATCCTTTTAAAATGGTATGAACAGAGGAGAAGGATGTTCTGCTGGTAAAATTCTGCTTTCTGGTTGAAATACCAGTTATGTCACCATTGTGGGAGCTGACAAGAGACTTGCACTTAGGCTAAAAAGCTACCACTATATCCAATGGGGTTCACAAGTTCCTACAGATCAGATATATCCAATTGGAGAAGGTTTTGAGCCATGAGAAAATCAGAATTATAAAACAATGTACAGTGGTCATGCAGTGTTATCTTGCAATTCTGGTTTTTTACACAAATTAAGCAGATAAAATTAAATGAGAGTTTTGGCATTTGACAGATGAAGGCAAAGTAAAAGTGATAAAAAGAATTGTAACTTCACATTCACTTAGAAAAAAATTGTTTCTACTTTATGTATTACTAAAACAAAACCAAATCTTCCTAGCTTTTTCAAGGCAAAGTCATCAAGCTTTTTCTGAAATTTTACACACAAAGAAGAACAAAATTCAGTTAAAGCTTTGTTTGACCTTTACAGTATTAAGACCAATACTTTAGGTCCTTAATTAATTTACTTCATGACAACTTTTCAGAACGAAAAATGGGCACATTAATTTCACACACAAATCTTAAAAGAGATCCTACAAAATGACATTGTAAGTCAAATAGGGAGACCTTGATGAAACCCAGTGGATAACCTTGGCCTAGTTTGAATCTCTTTCATTCTAGTTTACTTCATATGGCAGTTGTGCAGATAAAACGGGATAATCCCAGTACATGTCATGCTGAGCTCTTTGAATGCAGTGAGAGACCAATGATGCAAGAATGACTGAATCACTTTATTAATCACTAAGTACAAGTAGCTTGTATTAAGGAGCTTCTCAATGGCCCTGTTTTATGGAATGGTTGCACAGAAGCTGCATGTGCTGCACCATGAGAGAGACCAATAGCAATTCAATGTGATCTTTCAGCAGAGTATTAGCAGAGTATTAGCAGATATTAGCAAATTGGTATCACTATGGATTATCCCCCACTGTTCAAGTAAATTTTCAGTGTGGTCTCCCCGTCCTGTACCCAGGTTTCGGTCACTCACGCCACGTCCGCTCTCTGCTCCAACAGGAAGTCCCTAAGGACTGCGGTCTTGTTGTTTATTGACCTGGCATTGCACAACACCAATGACGGAGGGGAGTCAACCATCCTAGCCCCACCGCTGACCACCTTTGGAATGAGTCGCAGGCTGGAAGGGCACCGAGCCAATCCGTTTCTCCGTGCCCTTCCCATCGTTCTATGCCTGGACCCACCGCTATACTTCCCCCTCCCCAGGAGCACCGAAATTTGTTGAGCAGGCATCACCATCCCTGTACCGAATGAAAGCCATTGTGGTATTTTACTAGTGTTTTAATTGTATATATTTTATTTTTATCAAATTTTATGTAACCCGCCCTGAGCCTGCCATGCGAGGAGGGCAGGATATAAGTTGAATAAAATAAATAATAAACTGTTTCTGCCAGTAGAAGGCAGGGGGGGAGAGGGAAGGCCCCTTTCTGGTTTTGCTTTGGCCTTTCAAGGAGGACTTCTTGGGGCCACCCCTGGCAGCAACCACCAAGCAACTCATTACCATGCAACCTGCATGACTCATTCAGGCCTGGCTGCTCACTATTATTCAACAGCAACCAGCCACCCCTGAAAACTAGTGTTGGGCTAGACTATCAAACTAGGATTTGGGAGACCTAGGTTTGAATCCTCATTCTGCCATTATGCTAGTATTGCCAACACTGGGTTGGGAAATTTAGTGGAGCTTTAAGGAAAAAAGAAATGTCCCTTAACTCGCAGAGCATGTGATTGATACAAGAATCACTGTTATGGATTCAGGTGGGTAGCCATGTTGGTCTAAAGCAGCAGAACAAAGTTTGAGTCCAGTGGCATCTTTAAAACCAACAAAGTTTTATTCAGGGCATGAGCTTAACTTTGTTTCACTGTTAATGCAATGGTACATGAAATTTAAAGTTGAATTACTTTAAAGCCGGATCTACTGTATATTGACTGTCCTCACAGAGAGCCAGTTTGGTGTAGTGGTTAAGTTCACAGACTGTAATCTGGGAGAACCAGGTTTGAGTCTCCACTCCTCCACTTGCAGCTGCTGGATGACCTTGGGCAAGCCATAGTTCTGTCAGAGCTGTTCTGTCAAGGACAGTTCTCTCAGAGCTCTCTCAGCCCCACCTACCTCACAGGGTGTCTGTTATGGGGAGGGGAAGGGAAAGGAATTTGTAAGCCACTCTGAGACTCCCTTGAGTAGTGAAGGGCGGGGTATAAATCCAATCTCTTCTTCTTCTTCTTCTACAATGCTTTATAGCAGAGTTGGTGGGCAGAAATTCTGGCACCTATTTTTACCCGGATCAATGAGACTGGGGTAATGCCTAGGTCAGGATATTGTGCCATGCAATAATTATGTCAATCAATTTAAAGGGTGATTCTTTG